TTTTAGCTGAGCCATCCTGCCACCTGCTAGCAGCTCAGTGGCAGCTCAGCTCAGGCCGGGAATCAAACCGGCGACCCTGTTGCTCAGAGCTCACAAGCAGGTATACTTTTAAGATAAATTCCTGGAAGTGGGCATTTGGGGTTAATATAAAGCAACTGTTATCTTATTTGTCTAGGCAGTAGAAGGCTCTTATTAAATATCCAAACTGCCTCAATATTCAGGCTGCCTGAATGTAGACATTTGTTATATATTGTCAGCAGATACTGGGTGTTCTATCAATTCTCAAAACCTTTTTCCCTCAGGATCTTGGGCGTATAGCCCAGCCAAGTAGTTTTTGGACATTCAGCATCATTTGAATGCAAACTCTACACATGATTATTCTTCAGTGCCTTATTTATACTTTTATTTCACTATAGAATTGCAAGCAGAATATTCATTCATATGATGCCTGGGATGTTGTGAACAGTCTCATTTAACCAGAACATCAGTTGAGATCCGTTAGTTCTTTATTCACCATGTTTCTATTTGAATATAATGTCACCTGTGGTTAAAATGCGACTGAGAACATTGTGTTATAAATGAGAGATTTTATGAGAAAGCGTTATGCCTAAGTAGAAATTAAGGTAACCATTTTTATTGTTTATTTTTCTGATTTAATGAAAAAAATACCTTAGTATTTGACATTTCTCTAGACATAGTGAAAATTTTGATTTGTTACTCCATGTCACCTTTGCTGGAGAATTTATAGGTGCTGGGAAAAACCTTCCCAAAGTTCTCTAGTACAGATTTTTTAAATGGTAATGATTACTCATAATTCATGCCACAGCAGTGAACGTATTATGAAATACAAAAATGGCTTGAAGTTGGCATGTCATATGATGTATTTGTTATGCAGACATAATAGGTAATATTTTGAAGACACCTTACAAGGAGGGCATGATGTGCTTAACATAACAAAGGTGATGACGATTTCCTGGGTGGAGAGAAAATCCCTTGTGAGGAGTCTCCTTCAAGGTTTGACTTTGGAATTCATTATACTTGAAGGCAGTCGTGTTATATTGTGCGTAAAGTCATGTGATTCCATGTCCTTCATACTGGCTTCTTGAGAAAGAAGCAAAGGACTCAAAAGCAAACTGGCATCTGTGGTATTTTCAAGACTTCAATTTCTAGCACACCTCTTTGAGTCAGTATTCCTCTTCTCTCTGTCACTCCCCACCTTTGTAATATCCATAGCTTACTATCACGATGACCAGGTTGTCAGAATCATTGTGAAATTAGTTTATCAATAAACTCTGACTAAGAAGCCAGGGAAGTGTTTAATATATTTTAGAGCTCCATTCCAGATGCACTCGATTGTAATAGCCTGTGCTATTTTTATAAAGATGTTTCTTAATAATATTTTGGAAGGGCTACCCTTTATTATAAGGAAAAAGAGTTTTGAGTGTGTGTGTGTGTGTTTGTTTTTGGAAAGTTAATTTATATTATAGTGTACACTAAGGTGTGAAGAATCTTTCCTTTGAATGTAAGTTTAACAATAAGAAAATTCACACATGCTTTCTTATTTTCAGCCTTTGAGGTATTACTTTAAAATACCAAATCCATTTATAATTTCTTATAAGCCTTGGTAAATACTTTCCTTAGATAATTTCTTTTTTCTTGCTTTGGTTTAGAAAAAAAAATCTCAATTATTTTTCTAAGTTGTGAAGAGCCTTAAAGTGAGTGCTTATTACTCAGAAAATATTCTGTTACAGAAAAAAGTAATTTCAAGAAATGAGAAGCAGAAGTTAATTTATTTCCTGGAAACTTCATATTGGTTCAGGCTTACCCAGTTACTGTGGATCCTAATTATCATAATTTTATTTATGTGCATGGCATTAAATTTACTTAAAGTAGGATGAAAATATGACAAACTTTTAAGTACCAGGGAAGAGAAAGCTGATGGAGTATAAAACGCAAACAGTTTTCAAATCAGCTATACATTTCAGGGAAGTCTAGAGGTGGAATCTTTGATTATATGAGGGGGTGACATGAAAGAAAAATATCACTGTAGCAGCCTTATAAGAGATCCTGCTTTTAGTCTCTAAATTGTCACTCAATTCCTATGTGACTGTTCGTTCCCACGTGACTCTCCTGTTCCGCAGTGGTGTTTATATTATTTATGGGCTTCTTTTAAGTGGACACCATTTTGTGTGCATGTAACATTAGAATGAGGGAATTTTTAAGAGGGTTTTTTGTGTACTTTTTTGTTTATTTTCCAGTTGAAGACTGGGAATGTGTGTGGTTTTGGCAGTTCATTCATGGGATTGTTTTAAAAAACTCAAAATTGTGTCTTGACAGATGTTCCTGAGGTTATTTGGAACTGGCTTGAATATAGAACAAAAGTTGCTAAATACATGTTAACTTGCACTAGAGGTGTAGAATTTGCACCCCTCAGGAACTAAGGGAAATGTTTTTTATTCGAACTGGAGTATTTGATTTGAAACATATATAGTGCTTATTTTTTAGACCATTGAATATTTAAGGTCATTTTGTTAATTTAGGAACATAAAAAACATGTCATACGAGTATGCAGATTTGTTTTTTAGGAAACTAATCTACCATCTTAAGATACTCAGTATTTGAAAGGTGGCCCAAAACAATCCAAATAAAAGCAAATGTTAACTGTATTAAGGGGACTTAATGACTTCTACATGATCAGCCAGTAGAGGAAAAATCTCATTTCAAAAGTGTATCCGGGCTGGGAGTGGGAGGAGCGTTCCTTCTCCTTGAAGAAGCGCTTCACAAAACACAACATTGTCAGAAGTACTTTTGTCAGAGGTAACTTTTTTTATTCAGCCTTTTTCAAAGAAAGCTCTGTTAGCTATTTTTGGAAAAAATAAGCCTTGCTTCTGCTTAGAAAAATATCTTTGAGCAAATAAGGTGAATGTAATCTAATGTATTGAGGATAAATGGTCACAGCCCGTAAGACAGCAGTGTTTGGCAGTTTTAACATTGGCTTCACTGAGCAGACCTCTTGGCTTTAATTTTGTTTTAAACAATACTCAGAAATCGTTTTCATGTATGTTCAAAAAGGATGTTTTTCACAAATGAAATGATGACTTTAAAAACTTCATTATGATCAGATGATCTTTTGCCTGTGTCCTTTATTTGATCTTTTGATGCTAATTTTGATATAGGTTGCTAATAACAGATTTTTGTACACTGTATTCAAGGATGGACCACATGGCTTCCATGGCCTCAGAACAATTCAAACATACGTAACTTATTATTTTTTAATTCATGAGCAATAGACATAAGATATTTGTTTTATTTGATCTTGTAGAAACAGAATCTTTAATAAAATCTCAATGTTTTAATTTTTTTTCCTTGATTTTTAATTTCTTTTTAATTTTTTCATTGTTTTACTAGGGTGACATACCTTCTGTGGAATACCTCTTACAAAATGGAAGTGACCCAAATGTTAAAGACCATGCCGGATGGACACCATTGGTAGTTTTCCGTGTTTGCTTTTTATTCCCATTCTCTTTATGTTTTATAGTTATTACAGTTTATGATTATGTCGTTGTCTGTATATCATATTTTTGTTTTGTTTTGTTTTTCCACCTAGCTTTTCAATTGTGACAGGCATGAGATGAGCTACCTTTTGAGTGACTGCCTTTAGATTTAGGAAACCAGTTATACCATGTTGCGGAAGTTAGCACGTTTGTGGAGAGGTGACTGCCACAGCCGACAGCAGGCTCCATTCTGCAGCATTGCGTGCCATGGCAAACATTTTGTGGAACAAAGAGCGGTCAGAGGAACTGGATTAGGAATGTCTCACAAGGCAGTGATTCTTCCCGAGGGTCCGTCTCAGCCTCTCTTATATTCCTTATCCAGCGCAAATATGTAGACGTAGAAATCTTTGCTTCATCATTCATTTTTAAAAGTCTTTGCTTATTATCACTAAAATGCAGTGTGAAGAATAGCCTGGAAACAGAATGGCACAAATACATGAGAATATATGCTTTGTGGGCTAAATCAGACAATAGGCATGTGATTTCAATGAAGCCATACACATGTCAACACATGAGTGGATGCCCTTATCCTGTGAGCTGGAAATTCACATAAATTGGGAGATTCTCATTAGGGCAGGTGCAAAAAAAAAAAAAAAAGGTTTAAAGTTGTATAGAATGAGTTCTCCTTGCCAAATTGTAAGCAGGAGGGTTTAGTCTAGATCAGAGTCTTTGCTGTTTGGACTCTACGGACTGACTGACCTTTTCAAAGAAAGGTTAATTTTTTTTTTTTTAAGCCACTAAGGCAAATTACAGTGGGAGTTGGTGAGTGATTTAGAGGACATGATGCTTAATTTGGATTCCTTTCTCCTAGAAATAAACCTCTTGACGTTTAGTGTGGTCTGACCTATTACACATTGAATAGATGTGTTTAAAAGTACAATATACCATAGATTTATTAGAATACAGCCGAGTGGCATTGTCAGCAATTCATTTAGACGTAAGGAAAGATTTGCACCTGAGACGTCTTTGAACACTGCATTGTTACCAGTTATGTCACTTGTTCAGTAAGCTGTCTTGAATACTTATTCCGTGTTGTTTCTGTTATCATTGACACCAGCCTTGCAGTAATCTGTGGTTTCAGCAAACAAGAGAGGTTCGTCTTGTAAATACTCTAGGATATTTGCTTTATTGGGCGGTTGTGTATACATGCTCATATGCCAGTGAAGCACTTAGCTTAGATTGATTGGAAAAAAAAAAATAGTCCACAAAAGGAAAGTTTATTCGGGAGAAGAAAAAGAAGCAAGACCACCACCACAGTGCGGAAAGCTCACCTCCTGCACGGAGCTCCAATCGGTAACACACGTGCAGCAAAAGACCCGGGTTCCAAGATGGCTAATCCCTTTATGATCCCTCCCCCAGAAATTACCATGAGGATAAACAGGAAGTCAGGATTATAGAGTTAACAAGGGGCCCAGCTCCACCCATAATCCTCCCAACTCTATGGTTAAGCATATTAAGATGCCAGCTCACTATATCATTCACTTTATCTTTCTTCTAAAAGATCATTGATCAACAGTCAGATCTTTTAGTCTCAGGTTTTTAATCTTTTATTCCTTGATGCCTATTTAGCCTCTAGTCCCTCAGTGTCATCTGTCATGTCATGGGAAGAGTGCACGGATCGGGAAACGGCTGGCATCCATTGTCGACCTGCATCTAAAGCAGAGCTTAAACAGATCAAAGTTAAAAGATAGAATTAGAACATAGCATCCTAACTTGTGTGGCAGGTGATAAACCAGGAACTCAAGCTCCATAGGGGTCACCTGCTTTAAATTTTGACAGCTTTAGTTTCAGGTCAGCAGAGTGTGTGTTTTCCCAGCCAGGGCTTGGGGCCTTCTTCAGGTGCGACACGTGTATCCGAGAGTCTACTCCCTGTACTTTAGCAGCACAGGGGTTTGTCAGCAGTACCTAGTAAGGGGTTACAACAGCATAACCAGCACAGTACTTACCATTTTCGTCCTTTAAGTATGAACCATAGGTAAACTATGAGAAAATCAGCTTTACCCAGAGAAGTTTTCTGCAAATTGTCACGAGGAGTCAGAAGGTAATCTGTTAATGTCAGGCAGTCAAGAGGGGCTTCCTCAATCTCAGGAGGGAGAAAATCCAGCACGCTACTTCGCTAAGAAGTCTCTGTCTAATAAATGGGTAGGGGCAGAAGAACTAAGGAGAAAACTATGTTAATATTCATCTCTTAAAGGACCTAGACAAAAGGGAAATAGATTCAGATATGTAAACCTGATTTTTCCAAGATGATTAAGGGGAAGGACTGGAAAAAAAAGAAAAAAACGTATCGTTCTTCAGAGCCCTGTCATGGGGAATTAGGAAAGCCTGAAAGAAACTGGTTAGTACGTAGAGCGTCTTGTAAGCTTAAACTTATGGCAACCCCTTTTCCAATGTCTTTACTCCTTGCAGTAGTGTCAAAAAGTTGGCATTCTCTGGTTTTCCACAGGCTTCTCGTTTGCCACGGCTGAAAATCAGATGTCTTGGAGACCTTGCTTTTAGGCGGCCCGTCTAGGGTACTGGCAAGTTCATTAGATTTACTAATTCTAGGGTAGGCGTAGTTCCCCATCCCATCCTGGATCTCTTAACCAGGGCGGAAAGGTTCTTATTTAGCCCATTGACAAACAAGGAATTAAAAACTGTCCATGTGTGGCCAGCATCTGAAGGAAGACTGGAATTTTCCTTAAAAATGACCTGGAAGCTTTCATAGTAGTCAAGAACAGATTTGCCAGGCCTTTGTGAGCAAGTGTGAATTTTGTTCCAATCAACAGCCTTTGGAAAAACCTCGGGAATTGCTTGATGCAGCTTTCGAGCAAGTTCCCTGGCCTCCTCCCAATAATTGGAGGTTTGCTTTTCTAAATCTCTTTCAGGATGTTCCCATCTGGCAATCCTCATCCAATGTTTAGCTTGGCCTTCACCAACCAACATATGGATCAGCTGGTAAAAATCAGAAAATCCAGGCTGATAAGCTTGACTAGGAATATCAGATTCCTTAGAAAACTTATTAGAATCCTCAGTTACTATGGGAAACTCCTTTATAGTGGCTCGTAACTCAGCTTTTGTCCAGGGGATGTAAGAAATGTGGGGTTTATTAGGATCTCCAGAGGGTTTAATCTTAAATGGAAAAGTACTGATAAGTTCTGAGAAAGAAGAGGGAGAAGGGGATTTGAAAGGAGGTGTGACTGAGGTTTGAGTTGAAGATGGGGAAGGCGACAAAAAAGAGCAAGATAACGTCAAAGGTGGAAAAGGTGAAGAAGAGCAAGATGTTGTCGAAGGTGGAAGAGGCGTCAAAGAAGCAGTGGGGGAGGGGCAAGGCAGTGTTGTAGACAAAGAGCACGAGGTTTCAGACGCCATTCTGTCTCTTTTAGAATTTTTAACAGTTTTTGTTAACTTTGAGACTGTTTTGTAAACCAACAACTTTAGATTTGCAGTCTTGTTTGGGGGCCTCCATATACCACTCTAAAAATGCATTCCATTCCTCTCTCTCAGTTACAACGCTGTTACCATCCAATTTAGTTTTAAGAAATTCAAGTTTGGAAATCTCAAAAGTTCCCAAAGTGGCCACTGATTTCTAGGATTACTCTTAGTCAGATCTGCCTATTTAATTAATTACGTGCACGAAAATTTTCTGCGGATTGTAAACATGTACTCAGCTGGTAACCCTGTAGGAGGGACAGTTTTAGAAGGCTTGGACATTCGAGATCCTATTTTAAACGCTGGGCCCAAAACAATTCACAATTCGAATAACCTGCAGGTCTTCAGCTCACCTCATTCTGGAACGGTCTAATCACTGAGAATCAGGCCAAAGGCAAAAGCCAGTTCCAGGCGAATAACCAACTCTTAGGGAGTTTAAGTTACAGGTTGACCTGGCGCTGGGCCAAAATCAGTTCACAACTCAAGCAAACTGGGAATCTTCGGTTTGCTTCACTGTCACTCTGGAACAGTCTGATCACCGAATTAGACCGAAGACCGAATCAGAGCCAGTTCCAGGCAAATAACCAACTCGCATTGAGTTCGGTTATTGGCTGAGTTGCATGGCACTCTGTTAACTTGTCACTGAATCAGCACGATCTAATATCAGCTAAACCGACCAATTTCGTAAAAATAACCTCTTATCCTAAAGGGACATTAGGCAAAGATCAGTTTTTGTCTCAAAAAGAGAAACACAGCCTGCTTTCTAAAGAAAGCAAGCCAACCTGCTACGAGTACAGACAAACAAAATAGGCCTTAAAGCATTCACACACACAACAACAACAAACGAATGAAACAAAACAAAACAAAAATATTAAGGGGAAAAAAATTTCCCAAATAAAGTCTGGAGAGTGCCAGATGCAAGGCCCGTTGGTTCAGATCCAGGAGAGAAAACTCACCCGAGGCTTCTAAGCCAGGAAGCAAAAGAATCGACCGAAACAGCTTAGTTAGGTGCCATAATTTTTTGCTCACCGGTCAGAAGTCATCGGAGTTCTGTTGTTCTCTGGATCCCGGATGAGCCCCCAAAATATTGACTGGTGAAAAATAACTCTCCAAGTAATCCACAAAAGGAAAGGTTTATTCAGGAAAAGAACAAGAAGCAAGACCACCATCACAGTGCAAGAAAGCACACCTACACGGAGCTCCACCCAGTAACGCATGTGCAGCAAAAGACCAGGGTTCCAAGATGGCTAATCCCTTTATTATGATCCCTCCCCCAGAAATTACCATGAGGATAAACAGGAAGTCAGGATTATAGAGTTAACAAGGGGCCCAGCTCCACCCATAGTCCTCCCAACTCTATGGTTAAGCATCTTAAGATACCAGTTCACTTAAGGCTATGCACCTGATTTAGTGGATTCTCTTCAGCGTTGGATAATTTCAGATTTTATGCATGACCTGGTTAAATACTTTGTTTTTTTCTTGTTTTAAATTTCTTATTGAAGAGTAATTTAGGAACAGTAATTGCTTTAAAGCTACATTTTCTTCTGAAAGAGCACTTGACCCAAGGCTCAAATGAAACCATGAATTGTCTAGATCTAGATCACATGTATCTTATTACCAAGATTATTAATGGTGGCTTTGATTCTGTCAGCAGCTCATGGTCAGTATGAGTATTTAGGTAAGAACCGGTTTACTCACCGAGGTTCACATTTGTGTTTCTAAAGTGCGGCTTTATGATGCTATCCATTGCTCTTCCCCATCACGCTTCTCACTCCTTTTCTTTTTATTGAATCAGCATGAAGCCTGCAGTCATGGGCACCTGAAGGTGGTGGAGTTGCTGCTGCAGCACAAGGCGTTGGTGAACACCACTGGGTATCAGAACGACTCGCCGCTCCACGATGCCGTCAGGAACGGGCACGCGGACATCGTCAAGCTGCTGCTTTCCCACGGCGCTGCCAGGAACGCCATGTAAGTAGTTCCACGGAGAAACTTTTCATTGACTTGTATTCCTCACTCAAGACTTGTGGTGGAGTAAAGACTTTATTATTGTCCAAGTCGATGGCTCTGAGGGCTCTCTTGACTTTCACAACTAAAGTTAGATGTGACCGTGAAATCCTGGATTTGAAAATCAGCATTCAGGCCCCTTGCCTTTATGATGCTTACGTATTTGAGGGAGATCGGCTCTTTTAATTCAGAAATAGTTGCCTGATTTATTTTGGAAGATTTGACCTTCTGGACAAATTCAGTTTTTATATTCAGTGGATTGATTCATGCTTATTAATAAGAAAACAATTAGATGCACAGAAATAACTATTGTATGTGCTTCCCAATACCTTAAGAGTTGTTTTAAATATTCCAGTCCTTTTCTGCTTTTTTCTGCATATTTAGCATTGCAACAGTTAAAATATAAGGACTCAGGTGCTAGGCAAGGGCTGTTGCATTATTTCTTAGATTTTTCATATCAATCAAGCGAAGCTCTGGGTAAACTGTTTTGCAGTGTCAGGACACAGACACAGTCGTGAATGCTGGTGGCTGCATTTTAAAATTGTTATTGTAGAGTGTCAAGCAAGTGCTATATATGGATTTTGCATCTTTAATTTATAACTTGGTCATGTTTCCTTATATATTATTTTTACCCTTTTTCAGATAATGAGGTAGTTGAAATAAATATGTAAGTATCGTCTCTGTGTGCCCCCCCTCCCCCCGCAATTGCTTCTGTAGATTTGGAAGGAACCCCACAAAAAGTTATGCTTCCTCTGGTTACAGAGGCAAATAAGAATTACAAATGCAGAGCTTCTGGGTTATAATGTTTTATAGGTAACTATATAACATAATTGGAAAACAAATTAATGCGGGAATGTACTATACTTTGATGCAGTTAGTTTCAGTAAGTGTGTTTAATATATTTTATTTCCCATCAAATGTGATATGATAATTGGGGCAAACTCAGGGGATACGTATTCTGGTATTTTTCCCCCTTGCTGTTACACGCACATGCGCGCGCACACACAAACATGTTACATTAGGTCCATGTACATATATACACCTAACAGATATGACCCTCCTGGGGGTGTAGCGAGCCGTTTGATAAAGCAGATGGTTGCTTGGGTCAGGCGAAACTGAATAGTTTCTGTCCTTGGGTTCTTAAATCAGCCATGACTACTTTAATGAATGGGGCACTGGTCAAGGCGTTAGGGAATCCAGCTTTTATTTGTGACTCCATTATTGACTTTATAGCCTCAGGCAGGTTAATTTCTGTGCCTTGGTATCCTCACCTATAAAACATGGGTGATGCCTGCTGCTTTTCTATTTCTTCAGAGCGCACTGAGGATCAGTGAGCCAAAACACAGAGCCTGTCTTGTGGTTTGTAACCACGGTTCCTCCCTACACTGTGAAGCTTATTAATAAACAAGGTGTGGGCCGGAGACAGCGAGTGAGCCCGCTTCCCAGGTGCCTTCTCAGGTAGATGTGTTGTTTTAAGTGGGCCCACCTAGTGAAATGGCAGGTTTGGGGATCCCTACAGCCCAGCGCGGTGCAGCACACCTTTCGCACTGAGGGAAATGCACTGTGGCTGTGCTGGCTCCTCAGTAGCCACGAGCCGACATTGCTGTTGAACACCTGGACCGTGCCTATTGCTCTGGAGGAACTAACTTTGAACATGTATTTCATTTTAATTAATTGTAATAGCCATGTGTGCCAAGTGGCTACCCTGCTGGTTATTACAGTCAGGACGCCGCGGAAGGAGGGTTGGTTCGGTCTGGGGTTGGGAATGATGCTGGATAAAGGGTGTGGGGGCAACTAGAGGGCAAACGCAGGCGTTGATTTAATCCAGGGTATGATGACGTGGCAGCTGTTTTCTAAACATTGTTATTCCTTCTTCTCCAGACTATTGGTCATCATGCTTAAGTGTTTTCTTGTGTTTTTTGCTTTCTGTTTTATTTCATTGTAGTTGTTGTGCACCTGATGGACTTCACCATTTCCTATCCGGCCTTCTTTTCAGATTACTTTTTATACCGCAGCTCAAGAGCTTTTCAAAAATACAAGTCTGGCCAGGTCACTTATTTGCTTAAAACACTTCACTGGCGCTTCTTAATGTTTTTAAAGTGAAAGTGAAATGTCAGAACATGGTTTGTAAGGCCTTGCAGGTCTGGCACTGTTTTCCTCTTAGCCTCGGCTTTCCACAGTTGCTCCTGACCCATTTCCTTCACGCATTTTCTGCAATAGCCTTTCTAAATTTTATTCCTTTAGAGTGTTCTAGACTGCTTTGCCTTCTAGCCTTTGTAGTAGCTTTCCCTTTGTTTGGAGTACTCATTTTTGGTGGCCTATTTCTCACTTTTGGGGTTTCTTTTCATCTGCGGTATCGTTTCCTTTTCGGCCCTTCTCCGTATTCCCGTGTCTGTACGTGGAGCTTCCTTCCAGTCCTAGAACGTCAGCAGTATCTTTGCTTCTTGTTACCGTCTCATGAGGTTGTACAGTGTATGTGCCAGGGATCATGTCGGTGCTCCCAGGCCCTGCCAAGTGCCTCACACAGTCCGCACCCACATTTATTTGTCGAGTGAATTAGTAGGCGTTTGAATGCCTGGAAAGATGGTATACTTTCTCCTCTCTTTTGATAAAGGGTCAGATGAGATGAAAATAGGAATTTGCTTCTTTCTGCTCCCACTTTCACTGTAAGTGTGAAGAGAATGTCTAAAACCAAGTTTCCATAAGTGGTGCCTTTTCTAAGGTGGTAGAACTGGTTCCTGGTAGATGTTAGAGTAAATGCTGTGTGCTCCCTGGCAGAAATTAGTGTCTTGCCCAGTTGGGCGTCCATAGTATGTTAACCTTTGTGGGATCATGGCTACCCAAAGTAATTCCTCTGGCCGCGATACTTTTAAGGTCTTTCCACCATTGTTCTATATATTGTCTTTCTCGAGTTAAGTACTGACAGGTGAGAGTAGATGACATTCATTCCTCTACTTTCCTTCATGTCTTAAGGGGGCCATGGGGACTATAAGGGGTTCTTACTGCTCTTCTTTTTTGGCCTGAAGCTCTCCTTCCTTTTAAGCCATTAATATCTCAGGCTCTGGAATCTGGGTTAGCAAGCATGTTTCATTTTCTCTGCTAATTATATCTCTTTTACTCTTGCTGGAACTCTTTTCTCAATAGCCAGGACTAGGGTCTTCCCATCCCTAGAAGAAGGCAAGAACCAGAAAGGGCAAAAACTATTCTGTCTTCCCCTCTTTAGTGCTTGGTGCTTTGACTAATTGAAGTTGTAGATAGGTAGGGCCTTTTGCTTGTTGTCAATTTCTGAATGGTATCCTTAGCTCCAGAACAGACATTTTGGCAGGCTTCTTCATTACCTCGAGTCTTTTCACCGAGATGCCTTCCTTTCCTGGTCTCCAGTAAAATCCTGGTAGGTTTTCTCATGCTCTTTCCCTTGCTCCCTTTACTTCAGCATCTCCTCAGTTTTATCTGCTACCTGTATTCTAGTAAAAATGAGCAGACTCGTTATATTACTGCTTATAGAAGAGTGCGATGCACACCTTCAGAGCTCAGTGCCCAAGATTCTATGAAAATGTAGAGTAGGGGCTGTAACTATGACCAGGGGAAGTCATGGATGCTTTCTGGAAGAAGACGCACTCCAACTGGATTTCAACGAAGAGTAGGAGGGGGGAATGGGGTGGGCTTTACAGAAAGAGGAGGTGCTGGGGGCTGCGCCACACTTAAGGCCAGACTGCTTGTTTATTCAGCAGAAACTTCTATTAGTGATACGTGACTGGAGTGAAAGGCTGGAGTCTGATGAGACAGAGGCCAGAGAAGGTGAGCAGAGACAGTGAAAGGCCTGTGTGCTGAAGTTTTAAATTGAAAACTTCCTCTTCCACACCAGACAGGGAGCTCAGTGAAGAGTTGTGTCCAATAATCTGGGGGAGAAGTGAGAGAGCCTGAATTAAAATAGTAACATAGTGGGGCGTGGAGAGGGGAATTAGCCATTTTTATCACTTTATTTCTTTACATGAAGTTTGATTTACTTGGTAAGGTTCAGAAATATCCTGTTAGGATTTTGATTGAAATTGGTAAGTGTATATAGATTGTAGTGGGTTAATAAAACTGAATTCTCACTAAGAACCATGGTATATTTCTCCATTTACTTAAATCTCCTGTTGTACATCTCAGAAAAGTTCTTTTTTTAAAAGATTTTTATTGGGGAATTGGGATGGGAACAGTGCTGGGGAAGTGGGGGAAGAGGAACAGACAAGTCGCTGTCCTTTTGTTCTTCAGTCTAGTTGTGGAGGACGTTGCTTCACTGGCCCAAGTTGGCACCATCATTGCGCTCTTCCCTGGTGAGGCAGATCA